AAAAATTATAAGCTGTATAAGGTCTTTCTTTAATACGCAAGTACTTTCAACTGTACATTCAGTCATCTTCGGGCATGGAAATTTTTTTGTTTTTGGTAAAATTCAGGTAGCATTCGAGACGAAAAAATATAATGTTAATCGAAATATTATTATTATTATTGTTATTATTATTATTTAAAATGTGTTATTGATAACGGGTACAAACTTTAGGAGCAAGCAGCTACAACGCTAAGGTTGAATATTTTGAAAATTTAAGAGACTTCTTTTTTTTTACTAATATGGTAATTTGAGAATTTTTTGTTGTATAATTTCACAGTCAATGTGGCATGAACTAAATAGTTCGATAAATAGAGTAATGTCTCAGTTGTTATTCCGAAAATTTGCACGTCAGATCAGTTCTTTTACATCAAATATGTGGTGCAGTTCAATTTATATTACAATGAATCATTTATACAAAAAGTAAATTAGTAAAGTTAATGATATAAAATGGTCAAATGCCTTCGTTAACAAATCACGCTTTCCGTATCGGAATGGAGGTTATATTCCTGTTGGAGAACGCATATTTTCTACGAAATTTCTGGAACATTCAGGCTGGTAAATGTAATTAATATTGTTTAATTAAAAACAGAGCATTTACTTAATTATATTGTATCTGTAAAAATGAAAAGAAAAACGGAGAAAAGGACAATTGATCACGACTCCCGACATGTACGCAAATCCGAACTGGAGGACTCAGGCACATCCGCGCAGACGGGTGCACGAGCACGCTCATGAACGTACATCCGCACAGATGGGCGCATGGATGCACGTGCACAAACGCACGCACAAACGCAAACAATAAGGAAAAAATACAGCAACGATAAGCGCATTAAAAAGAAAAACTAAAAATATAAGCAGTCAATTGCTGATACTTCCTGAAGACTAGACAGACGGGTCCGTCTACGAAACTCTGGAGTCGGTATGCTGAAAGTAATCAGCTAAGTGGCTTTTCTTTTATTTATGTTATATATATATATATATATATATATATATATATGTGTGTGTGTGTGTGTGTGGATATGCGTGTTATTTTTTCTTTGGTCTGATATTTTAAAGAACCTTTCATTTTCACTTAACGGCATATAAAAAACATCGGACAGAACTTTTAAGCTGAAGAGACAAAAAAAATGATCAAAAAATAATTTATCTTAAAAAAAAGAAATGAAAAAAGATAATATATATATATATATATATATATATATATGTTTGTGTTGTATTTATAAGATCAAGTATCTTCAAATACATTTGACCGGAGACAACGCCTTTATGTTATATAATCGTAGAAAATTTGCATTTTTTGCATTCTTACGTAATTGATAACAGGTCGGAAGTTCACTTCCGAAAGTGTGGATTGCACTGTTCTAGTCATTCTTTTCCGATTGGACTAGTAACGCTATTTGCACAAATTTAAATCGAGGAAATGTCATCTAGACCTTCATTAATCTTTTTCTTGTGCTGATAAACCACAATCGGGACACTTCTCTACTTGAAAAAGCTCTCCTAACTAAAAATAATGACACTAACAAACCAGGGACGTTTTATTAGTCTCTTTCGTTGGAATAATAGGGTGTCCGAGCGGTGTAATGGCTATTGACCCGGAATGAGAAATTGGAGATACGAGTTCGATTCTGGTTATGTTCACTAAGGCACAAATGCGCTTGGGAAAGTTATGAATCTATCTTTTCTCTCACCTATCTATTGCTTAAATAGCAGGACTTGTATCTGGAAAAAAAATCATTATTATTCTTTAAAAAAAATGTGAATACAATATTCACTAAAAAAAAAAAAAAAAAAGAAATTATTCTTACAATAAAAAATGTTTAGGATTGAATTAACGCACAAAAAGTTGCTAAGTTTAAAGAAAAGTTTATTTTTATCTATTCAGTTCCCTGAAATATAAACAACAGTAATTTTTAAATGGATTATTTATATACACCATTTTTTCCTCTTAGTATAAACGTATATATTTTTGTAATGGATACCGGCTCGGATTGAGGAATCGGAGAGCCGAGTTCGAATTCCAATCAAATCCATTAAATTCACTTACGTGCTAATAGCCTTGGGAAATATATGAATTCTCTTCCGATTCCCCCAGATATGGATAAATAGCAGGACAGACTGTGTTCTATAGCCTTGGATGGCAGAATTTAATGGCACTCTACTGCAGGAAAAAATCTGCCTCGTCAGTCATGTATCGAAAGATACGTGATCGCCTAACCATGTATTACGCATGGCATATAACTGACTGATAAACGTGTATATATATATATATATATATATATATATATATATATATATATATATATATGAAACAAAAAGATTAATGATCAGAGTTGAATCAGACCAGTGGTATTAAAAAGTTCTCAATACACGTGTAAAAAAATAAAATAAAGGTAAAAATATCATGTAAAGCTTTTAACTTTAAAAAATCAGGAGGTCAATTGAATCAAGAAGAACAAAAGCAAGGGTATTATAAATGTATCGGTGTGGGGTTAATTTCTTCTCTTTCCCCCTTTTCTTCTTTTTCTTCTTCTCATCCTCCTCCTTCCTTTCTATTACACCCAACGTCGTGTGTTTATTTATTTTTAAAACAATAATATAGCGTTAATTAGTCTTTAAAAAAAAAATAAAGCGTTAAGAGGTCATTTGATAAAAATCGCCTGAGGAAATCGTAAGGTGGAAACCAAGGAAGGAATTCATTGACGTCCTGATTTTTTAAAGTATATATATATATATATATATATATATATATATATATATATATATATATAAACAAATTTGATTACAAGGAACCGACAAGATCGGCCTTTTTAATGTTTTTATAGAATTTTCCAATTTTCGGAGATGTTGAGTGTTGTGCACAAAGTTGTCGAGAAAAGTTGATATTTTGTTATTTTTGTTCAAGTACTTTCGACATTCGGATCTTGATAATGCCTTCGAAAGTTGAAAGTAAATAAAAAAATGACAAAGATAACAAAATATGAACTTCGGACAGGTTATCCACTGCTTCGAGCACAATGCTCAACACCTCATCCGGAAGTTATAAATATGCAATACAGAATTAAACAAACAGAAGTTCTTTTTAATCAAACTTGTTTGGATGAATACTTGCAGCCTCTCTTTCTCTCTCTCTCTCACACACACACACACACACACACACACACACACATATATATATATATATATATATATATATATATATATATATATATATATATATATATGTAAAGCAGCCGAACTTTTTCCCTGGTACCCCGACTACATGAATTTAAGCGTACTACTAGATTGGCATCTAGGTCCCACCCATTTACTCTTGAAATGAAGTTAAATGTAACCGCCACTTCTACTCCATCAATTTCTTTTCTCGCACTTCCCGCCTGTGGAACTCCTTTCCGTTTACTTGCTTCCCTGAAAACTACAACCTTCAAAAATTGAAATGCAACGTCATCTTCTGTCGTCTTGAACCCTGTTCATCTTTTAACCTTTTTTTCTCAGTCCCCACTATGCCCAATCTTTTCTCACACTTTCACCTTCTCACTCTCTGTAACACGCATGCGTATTGTGACTTCAGAAAGAGCATTCAGTGTTACACGAGTGGCACCAACAAAAAATTACGGCAAAGTAAGAGTTAAGAACCGAGGAGGGCTTTTTTCCACGAGTGGAGTTATAAAAATTGGGTCAACAAACCTGGCAAACGATTCTTATAAGAAAGTTAATCTTAAACCACGGCTCTTTAGAACTTGAGAAGAAGGAGGGTCTGACACACACACACACACACACACAGTTTTTTCCACACTTAGATGTGGCACAAAGTGGAGTTGAGGATAATTTCTCAGTTTTACCAATGTTTACACCGCCTCGAGGTGGGTCAACAAACCTGGCTAATACGATTCAGTCTTAAGAAGGAAACTGATCACGTAATCTTAAACGTTTATATATATATTTATATATATATATGAGATATAGAAAGATTTTCAAAAGTGGAAACAGTAAAAAATTCATTACACTGACATACACACGAACACAGACACATTTGGGAGTTTTTCCAAAGCAGCCATGGGAAGAATCTGCCAGAGTTCAATTTAGATCTTACCAATAGGATACGAGAGAAAAGTCGATGTTAGGTTAAAACTAGCGGAATTAATGAATATATATATATATATATATATATATATATATATATATATATATATATATATACAGGCAAATTCGACGTATGAGGGGAGTTCAAGAATTTGATTATAGTGGCGAAGGTTTCGTAACCATGATTTTTGAAAGCCAGACAAGACCTGGTGCACTAACAAACATTACACCAGGCCTCGAGTTGTCCTTCTCCTAGACCAGTTGCCATAAGGCTTTTCTAATCCATAGCTGGAGAAAAGAAGAGATTCATACCTTTCCCAAGGGAAAAGCCGAAAAATGGATTCGTGGAGGCGATTCCTCAATCCAAGTGCCATCCAGGATCGATCTCACTATTCGTATGAGGGTCGTAATTGTTCCCAGGAAACCGACAGCCCGACAAACAAGAGATTTGATTAACCGAAGGTTGCAGGACCATCATTTTTTGAAACGTCAGAGAGGTGCCTACACACAAACGACCTTCCGCAGGTTTTGAACAAACAGTTGCCATCCAGGCTATAGAACTCAACTATTTTATCCATACACACCTTTCCCAAGGGAAAAATATGAAATGTAATGGATCTGATGGAATGATATATATATCGCCATATATATATCTATATATATATATATATATATATATATATATATATATATGAGATATAGATGAAGAACAATTTTGGAGGAAAGATGTATAACAAAGTGGAAACAGTTTTCGTCTGACGCGTTTCGTCCTTTAAAAATTCATTGGACTAAAAGTTTGTTTAGGCTCATGTGACTACTTGTGCGCACGAACGGGAGACATTGGGGATTTGGGAGTTGTTTCCACAAAGCAGCGGTTCATGGAAGAATCTGCCAGAGTTCAATATATCTATCTATATCATCCATCTATATCTATCATCCATCTATCATATCTATATCTATCTATCTATCAGTATCTATCCATCTATCTATAATCTATCTATCTCAGTCTAATCCATCATATCTATCTATCTATCTATCTATCTATCTATCATCCATCTATCCATATCTATCTATCTCAGTCTAATTCATATCCATCCATCTATCTATCCATCTATCATCCATCCATCTATCTATCTCAGTCTAATTCATATCTATCTATCTATCCATCTATCTATCTATCTATCTATCTATCTATCTCAGTCTAATTCTATATCTATCTATCTATCCATCATCCATCTATCTATCTATCTATCTCAGTCTAATTCATATCTATCTATCTCATCTATCTATCTATCCATCTATCTATCTATCTCATTCATCTATCTATCTATCTATCTCAGTCTAATCATCTATCTATATCTATCTATCATCTCAGTCTAATATCTATCTATCTATCTATCTATCTCAGTCTAATTCATATATCTATCTATCTATCTATCTCAATCTAATTCATATCTATCTCATCTATCTATCTATCTATCTATCTATCTATCTATCTATCTATCTATCTCAGTCTAATTCATATCTATCTATCTATCTATCTATCTCAGTCTAATATCTATATCTAATTCATATCTATCTATCTATCTATCTATCTATCTATCTGTCTGTGAGAAGTCTAGTTATCTTTTTAGCTCTTATTCGACAATTATCTATCAAAATCTATCTAAAGGATAAGAGATGATCTAGGGACAATTCACATGGAAGAATAATCTTCATTTCTATATTTCTTATTTATTTTATCTCATTATCTTTTTGACGATTGTCGTCATATATATATATATATATATATATATATATATATATATATTTATTTCTAGTTTTACAGCAAACACTGAATATATTTTCCATTCAATGTGTGTGTGGATGTGTGTATTGTTTCAGCCCGTCTTAGTATAAAAGAGAGACATCTGCTTACAAAACATATTCGCAACCAGGTCGACGAAATTAATGTCCAATATATGACACAAGGTCAGTAGACCCGAGCCACCATAGGCCACTTCAAAATATTGGTCCTTGTCCTTTTGATCATCAAAATAGGAGCGCCCTTTGATTTTTCGTTATGTAAATTCTAAGTCATTGTAATTATGATAACGAATTTATATGCATTGAAGTCTATCTGATTTGTCATCTGTCTCTCTACCTATCTATCTGTAGAGATTTAATTTCCTTGTCCAAATATCCGTTACGCCCGCTAATCAAAGCACCTTAAATTCCTCAGACAATTGTACCGAGATCCCCAGTCGTATAATCCCACACTTTTATTTGAATAACTTTCTTTTTACAATTTGTTTCCCGTGGGCCTTTAAAATCTTTCCAATTGTGAGAAGATAGCTAAGGTTTCAATACTGATAGATACGCTTTTCGTTGTTTACTCCTTCATCGTCCGACAAAATAAAGGAAGCAAAACTGAATATTTTCCAAAAAAGCCTGTCTTAGTATAAAAAAAAAAAAAAAAGCAACCAGGTCGACGAGCAATATATAGCAAGTAATTCTTCAGGATAAAACGCATTCATCTGAGCATTCTTTAATGGGCAGACGACAATTTGAGATCCCCAGTCGTATAATTCCACTTTTATTTGTACTTTCTTTTTTTCTTCTCGTTAAAACCCTTGATCCGCCATTGTTAATCGTCCGACAAAATATAGCAAGTAATTCTTCAGGATTTGCATCTGTATTTTCTTCTCGTTACCCTTGAGATTGTAATATTTTGTAATTAAACAAACAAAAAGAAGTAGACTGAGTCAAGCTGAAAGTTACCTCGGCTAGTGACAGTGAGGTCTAAAACGGGTATCTGGGAGCATATTCGGAGTAATTTATCTCTTTGTTCCATCTTTATTTTTTTCTTTTTCTTCTTTTGCCACCAAAATATAAACGCTTAGCTCTAATTCTATTTGTTTTCCAACTAATACAGTTTGGGTATTTTTGCCCCCGCCAAATATTTTACAAGTAAACACTAATGGCGAGATAGCCATCTTCCTGCCGTTCCCTTTGCCACCAACATCCAGGACTCCTGTTATTCTAACCGATAAAATAGGCGACCTGATAAGTTTGGTGATTTTTGTAAGGGTATATAGTCTTATGATTAAGGTGGGAAAATACGAGAGTGTAAGAGAGAGAGAGAGACAGACAGACAGAGAAATTTAGAGAGCGAAAGAGAAAGAAAAAGAGAGAGAGATAAAATAAAAGGTAGATAGAGAGAGAGAGAAAAAAGCTAGGACAGAGAAAGAGAGACAAAGAGAGTGACGAATGGTGAAGAGATTACAAAGAAAACAGGAAGGGCACAAAAGAATAAAAATGAAGGATAATAGTAAAATAAAAATATATATATATATATATATATATATATATATATATATATATATATATATATATATATATATATATATAGTTGGCAAAAGCTTTCATTCGGTTTATAAATTAAATTTTCTACTTAATAAGCGAACCAACGTTTTGGCCAACCCAATAAGCCTTTTCATTATATCTGTACTCTGTCCCGGACATACTACCTGGATTCTATCCTCTTGGATTTATTTTTATACAAATATATAATGTGTATATGTATGTATGTATGTATGTATGTATGTATATCTATTGATATATTTTAGATACATGATTGCATTTGTATGTGTATATTTACCACTAATATTATTATCTATATCTATCTATCTATCTATCTATCTATCTATATATATATATATATATATATATATATATATATATATAGGTAGGGGAGAGAGAGGGGGAGAGAGAGAAAAAATAATATAAACAATTGTAAAAAAAAAATTAGTGACGCGTTTCATTCGTTAGGATTTCATCGCATGGGCCTTGTTGAAGGTGCCCCGTCTACATATGCCCACAAAACGATCAAAGGTGCCACAAAAACTTTTTTCAAATTTGTCATACTATTTTTCTAAATACTGTTTGTTGATATATAAATTATACAAAATTATATATATATATATATATATATATATATATATATATATATATATATATATATATATATATATATATATATATATATATATATATATATATATATATATATATATATCGTTATATTCGTTATATATATATATATATATATATATCGTTATATTATATATATATATATATATATATATATATCGTTATATATATATATATATATATATATATATATATATATCGTTATATCATTATATTACATATATATATAAGCGTCACGATGAAACCCAACTTCTTTTTAATAATAATCATGATGGACAATTAAAAGAAAAAAAAGGAAAAACGTGCTAGCTAACCGGTTTCGAACGTCGCTTGACAGAGCTAAATCGAGGTTAAAATATAAATGTAAAATATCAATAAAATGGAATAGGAAAGAGCGAAAAAAGAAGCAAAAGACATGTAGGAAGTAAGAACGAGGCGGACCGGAAGTAAGAACGAAAGAGATTAGAATTAATAAGGAGACGGGTCGGAAGTAAGAAAGAAGCGAGTGGGAGTAAGAAAGAGAGAAGTCAGAAGTAAGAAAAACAGTGGTCCGAAATAAGAAAGAGACGGACAGGAAGTAAGAAAGAGTCGGACCGGAAGTAAGAAAGAGGCTGGTCAAAAGTAAGAACTAGAGACTTCAGAAGTGAGGAAAAGAGAGAGAGAGAGAGAGAGAGAGAGAGAGAGAGAGAGAGAGTTCAGAAGTAAGAAAAAGACGGGTGGTAAGTAAGAAAGTGAAGCACCCGGTTAAGCAGTCACAAGAAAAAGGAGGTATATGAAACCAAAATATAAGAACGTTTGGTTCCCCTTTTGTTCCAAATCCAAGTGCTGTCTAGAATAATCAATCCATTGGGAATTTTTGAACATTTAAAATAAGCGTTCTGGTTCAAATAAACGTTCCACCGATAATTTTTCGTTCCATGAACAAAATAAACGTGCCGCGGAAAAAATTGTAAAATACCCCCCTCCTACCCACCCCCAAAATGTACTGTATCAAACATTCATCGTGCCGGGCGGATGGAAATAATTTAATCGCATTTGTATTTGATACACAAGAGTAAGAACAACGTAGAAGAACAGCGAGAATGCAAAGTAGAAATCTAAAGAAAAAAACACAAAGTAGTAAAAAGAGATCGAATGAGAAATTAACTCAGTTATGGCGCAGAATCGAAGAAATTTGAATATCTTGAATTTCGACGAGACCTGCTCTGTGATTCAGGTAAATGTGCATTTCACCAGCGGCGTCAGGTTTCGAAGCAAGGTAAAAACGAGCATTCCATGTCTGTTTTTTCAAAGCAGGCATATCCTTTTCTCTTGGAATCTGGTAGATTTCAATTTTCTTAGCACTACCCACGTGTAAGCCAAACTTACAAAAAATCTGTAACGAAGAAACTCGGGGAAAATTCATCATGGTGTAATAGCAAAATGTGTACCATAATTCTCCATGTATAATACGCCTTCATCCATAATACGCACCCCTAAAATTGTGCTGAAAGTGTGGGAAAATGCTTCTACTCATGCATTTGCTAGTTCCACCTGAAGTCTAGTGTGAGTTTAAGGCGTAATAATCGCTCAAGGTGCGGAGCCTCCCCGAATCGATATCTATTCATCGTTACGGGTGGTATTTCGGGGTCCCATCGTCGCTGATCTGTTCCTTGTTTGGTAATCCAGCCCTATAAATTGTACCTCTCCAATTTCATTACGGCCAGCGTTTCCTACTCTTATTCAAGCTGTAATTGAAGATATTTATCAAAATTTCCGCTCATTACGATTCTAAAAGGAAACGGAAATGCCTATATTGTGCCTACTGCGCAGACTCATTGACCTGTTTTTGTTCGATAAATTGTGCAATCTATCGGATCTGTATGTAGTTTTTCACAAAAAATGGTTTTAAAAAGTGTAATATTATTCTAATTTAGTTTTATGATAATTCTTATTTTATTTTACATTTTAAGTATTGTTAGGTACATATGATTGTATTTGACATTCTTATAGGGTCGCAATCGCCAAATGTTAGTGTCAAATTGTCGTATGCTTGTAGTGAGTAGTCATTTCGCAAATGAAATCGACCTATGAAACGGCAATTTTTTGTAGCTGTGCATAATACGCACCCCTAATTTTGTTTCTTATTTTTTAGAAAAAAATGCGTATTACACATGGGGAATTACGGTAGTAGGTTCGATCCTCATTGGGTATTTTGTGCAAAACGCCTTTGCGCTTATTAAATATCTATACTGAATGGTTGATTTCTTTTTGTTTTTGGTAAGTTTAATCTTATCTTGAATTTGTTTTTTTTTTTTGTTTACCAACCCATTTTATTTAATATGAAGACTTTGATGTCAAACACAGAAAAATGCAAATACTTTTAATCAGAAGAAAGGATTAACGGACAATTATCAGAAAAAAGAATATTTGTTTGTTAGCAAGGGGGATAATCCAAAATGCGAACTACAAACTGGATATGCCAAAATTAAGTATGTACGAAAATTAAACTATCTGCCAAATGTTTTAAAAGAGGACTGAAACCGTGACATAAAAATCTGAAAGTGAATTGAAAATTTGCATAGAAAAATATACCTTTCAAAAGCTAAGAAAAGTATTTAAAAAGAAAGAAAAGTTTTGTTAGAAACGAATGTCAGAGTGCTGAACTTTTTTTCTTTTACACTAAGGTTCACCCTGTACAAAGCACGGCGTCCACTCGAGGTAGA